GTCCCGCATTGGGCTCCCTGCTCAGCAGGGAGTCTGCTTCTCCCTCTGACCCTCCCCCCTCTCATGTGCTCTCTCTCTCTCATTCTCTCTCTCAAATAAAAATAAAATAAAATCTTAAAAAAAAAGAGAGAAACAAAGGTTTATTTCTTATTCAAGCCGTATGTCCAGTGCAATTTGGCATGGTGGTTCTGCTCATCTGGAACCAAGACAGACAGATCAGCTACCATCTCAAATGTATCTGGATATTGTGTCAGAAGGAAAGGAGAAAATAGAAAAGCATGCATTGGTTGTTAAAGCTTCTGCCCCCAAAGTTTTCACATTTTATTAGCCAAATCAAGTCACGTGGTGTGACATATATTTTTTTTTTAAATGGACACAATATTTTGCAGATCCTCCAATCAAGAGGTTGAGTCTATTTCTCTACCCCCTTGACTCAGCTTGGCCATACTTTGGCTAATGGGACAGTAGCAAAAGTGATGTAAATAGAGTTTTAAAATGACATCAATTTGAAGCTGAATTTATGGGACACTATATCAAACTGATTTTTTCCTCAACGCTCCACTAAATAGACTATTACAGTAAGACCCTAAAGATTACTAAAAATTGGCTTTTGGTTTTTGACATAGTGATCTTCGAAATATCATCTCTCTGCACACAAGAGGCTTATGTATTCTCTCTGGCAAAGAGCTCAGGTATCTATTCATCTCTACCCTCCATGGTGAAAATACTAAATTTACTATATGACCAGACTTGAAACTGACAAAAGGATCCTACCACTGCAGGCAAAGCCCTAAATAAATGTCTAGGTGGGAGGGAGAAGACCCCAAAGAGACTGCAGGAAGGCAGCCAGGGCCTGCTTGGTTTCCTAACCTCTGGATATTGGCCGGAATCTGGAAGCTGACATGGAAAGCCATGTGGAAACATCTAAGGCTATGTGGACATCTGTATTATCAAGACAAAGATAGCTAGGTTAATTTTGAACTCATTTTTTCCTTGGCCTCTGAGATTTCAAGGTTGGATGTCGACTCTTAGCAGCTCTCAGCATCAGGAGTTCACACAAACTCACTAACAAGCATAAATCTGGAAAATATCTTGGAAACCTACCAGTCATGGAAGTTAGCATCTCCTAATTTCTCATGTAAATCACAGTGATGTTTTACACGCTCACGGCTTTCACGAACCACTGTTTGGAATATCTCTTGCTGGAAAATAAAGATAATCAGTGTTATCACTGTTAACGATATATCTTGAGGTAAGATTGCAAAACCCTGATAGTTTAATGTAACTATTTTCCTAAACCCAGGGCTTTATTTACTTAGTGAGCTTGCAAATCTTGAAAAACATGTTCTGGTAAAACAGGAACGGCCGTGTACTTTGTGGAGAAAAGAAGTGGTACAACAAGATTGATATTTAGTTTCTGGTGATATAAATTCATTTGTGGTTGATACGGTGTATTTTACAAGCATAAGGCAAATCATTCATCAAGCCAAAGAGATCTTTAAAGGTAGTTTACAGATCTAAGTTTGATTTGTCAGAGAGTGTTGGTTATATTTAATAATACAGCCTTTTTACATAAACAGCACAGATACAGAGATACAGGTATAGGCGTAGAAATATAAGTATGTATTAAGAAGCCACGGTTTAATAAGAACATCCAGCAGCCTTTAATATGGTAAAGCACTCCACAAATACACATTGAAGTGAATCAAATGGAAATCTCAGAACTAACCGCTAGTTCAAAGAGTTCTTCAACGGTGCACATTAAATTCCAGTGGGAAAATACAAGTGACCTTTCAGGCTTAGTTCTTCAGTAGGAGGACAGGTTATCATCCTAACTAATCTGACCCAGTGTACATGATCTTACTGAGCAGTGTTTGTTACAGTGAAAATTTTACCAGATTTGCAAACTGTTTGCCTGGATTTAACCCTTAGCCTTGTCCTTACTGCCTGTGTGAAGTTGGGCAAGTCTTTTAAACCTTCTACGACTCAATACTTTCATCTACAAAATGCAGTTAATAATTCTGGCATTACCTACGTTACTGGGCTGGTGTGAGGATCAAATAGGATACTGGTTGTAAAGTTGCTTTGTGAACTCTAAACATCCATGTTCCTGTAAGGTGCTATTATCATAATGATTATTGTGGAGGTCTACTGGGGATGCTGCAAAAGGGTGCTCACCCACAGGGGAATAAACTACCTTCATTGATCCTTCTCTCTGGGAACAGAAATGTGATAGATATACCTGCTTGAGCCCAGACAGGGCAAGAGACGCCTTCAATACTCTACCACTACCCCACCCTCTGTAAATATGTAAGCCATCGCTTAGAATAACATAAGCCAGAACCAACCTGGTTCGTGGTAATCCACAGATAAGTGATCATCTGGTCACATATGTAAGGTCACCTGCTTTTTTCATGTCAGATGCACAAATAGAGCTGCTGCCTGTGAACAGTATGATTTCTGGCCTGAAACAGGGACAGTTTCCAGGACTACTTAGTGGAAATAGTCAATCTTCTCATACCCTGAAATGCTGGCTTTCATGCCATCTGCTACGGTTCCTAGCAGACACTCATTAAAAGGGAAGATTGGACAGAGAAGGTTTCATGACGCCCAGAATCTATAAGACAGTGACTCACCTAGGGAGCTGCTATAGTATGATGCTGGGGCCTTTGGTTTAGATGAAAATCATATTTGTTGTGCAGTGTTGGCAATTAGCAAGAAGGAGCACAATCCTTTTACAAAATATGGCACTACCAACAGCACAGGAATTTTTCCTATGTTGGTAATCACTTATGAGTAACAAGTTAAAAAATAAAAAGGCATTTACCCCATGGCTGTAGCATTCCAGAGGATTTTCTAATTTACAGCATTTTGCCAATAAATTTTGATATACCGTATCCACTCTTAAAATCACGGGAACTGCCAGTTCTGAATGTCTTCTTGAATATTCATAAAGAAACCTGTATCCATATGAAATATATTAGAAACAGTAAAATTCAGAAGTCATGAGTTTTCTTTCAAACCCCAATTATGATTATGAAATTTATTCAATATTTTCACTGATTTTAGGCATTTGGAAACTTTGGGAGGACGGCAGGGAGGTTTAATTGACTACATTTTGAGATAAGGAAACAGAATCAATACAATTACGTGATTTTTCCAAAGTCACACAAGAATGGTGTCAGATTTAGAACTTGAAACTAAAACAATCTGATTAGCTGATAGTTTCTGGCTCAGGGTCACTACTTACTTTTATGAGAAATTAATTTCCAGTATTTGGATGAGAGCACATTTTTCTCAATCATCTCTGAGGCTAGATTTTATAAGTATTAGAATTTTTTTTTTTTGATAGAAAGTGATAGCTAGGTATTAAATCATCATCTTCCCCTCTTTTCCAGCTAAGTTTTCAAGCTTGAGTGGTCCAAGCATAATCTATACATTATTCTGGGTTACAAGAAAGAGAAATTTGGACCCTAGAATGTTTACAAAGGAATCACAAGCACCTTTGAAGTGATCTTATCCAACCCCTCAGTTAGGAGCTGGAACAGAAGAGCCTAAGGAAATTAAGTGGCTTGACCTACATTCCAAAGTTTATGCATGACAAAGCTAGTCTTTAGAAGTCTGGTCTCCCAACTCATAGCTTAATGTGATTTCCACTAGGAAGTTGTGCCTATCGACTTTTCCAGTACCAAATGCAAGTTTAGGAACGAGTGGGTTCAGGCAGTGACATTTACTTTTATAAGCCATATCAAATATAATTTCAGAAATATAGTTCAAGTCATTCTACAAAGAGCTTTGAAGAAAATTCAAATTCTTATGCATTGTTGGAGTTTAATTGCTCCAAATAATGCTTCACAAAGTGACTTTGGAAATACTTCAATCACACAGCAATATTGTTTTAATATTACATATTGAAATCAGTTTGTCTTGTACAAATCAGTATGCATTTTGGAATGGACACCTGAGATGTTAATATTCCATCTCTCTAATCTTTAAATGCCACACCATGGCTTAGGTAGTAGGTATTAAATTAATTAAAATAGAAGAGCTCACCAGGTATACCAATCTGAAACCATTCCTTAGGGATGAGTACCTTAGAGCAAAGTTTGCAAATACTTGACCCTCACTGTGTTTTTAAAAATTCTGTATTAGTTGTCAACACTTAAAAATCAAGCAACTTCCAGCTTCTTTCAAAATGTAGTAGACCCTATAACCTAGCAACTGCACTACTATATCTTTACCCCAAAGATATAAATGTAGTGATCCGAAGGGGCACATGCACCCCAATGTTCATAGCAGCAATGTCCGCAACAGCCAAACTGTGGAAAGAGCCCAGATGTCCACACACACACACACACACACACACACACGCACACAATGGAATACTACTTGCCATTTGCAACGACATGGATGGAACTAGAGGGTATTACGCTAAGCGAAATAAGTCAATCAGAGAAAGACAATTATCATATGATCTCACTCATATGTGGAATTTAAGAAACAGAGGATCATAGGGGAAGGGAGAGAAAAATAAAACAAGATGAAATCAGAGAGGGAGACAAACTATAAGAGACTCTTAATCATAGGAAACAAACTGAGGGTTGCTGGAGGGGAGGGGCTGGGAGGATGGGGTAACTGGGTGATGGACATTAAGGAGAGCACGTGATGTGATGAACATGGGGTGTTATATAAGACTGATGAATCATTGACCTCTACCTCTGAAACTAATAATACGCTATATGTTAATTAATTGAATTTAAATAAAAATAAAATAAAATAAATAAAATAAAATAAAATAAAATAAAATAAAATAAAATAAAATGCAGTAGACCCAACTACCCCAAGCCTGCATTCCCATATGCTAACAAGTGGCTGGAGCTGTATAAGTAACTGCCACTTTTGACTCCACCAAGCATCTCCTCTTAAACAATTTGAGTCACTCATTTACATCATGGGTTAGCCTCTGTCATCATTCAAGTCTACAACCCTTCCCAAAAAGTCCATAAATATAGTATTCCATTACAAAGATTTTACGAAAGGCTGTATTACTCTTGCAGGAAATCATCTGGCTTGTTGGAGAACTGTGCGCATACAAATCGGTCTTCTGTAAATCTGCTGAGTGGCAAGGATGGAAGATCAGGTTCATCGTCATTTTCTGAGTTGATAGCACATTCCCCTCGAAATGGCTCCGGCAGTGCACAGCACGGACTGATTTTGCTGGAGAGGATCGACTGCTTGGAACAGGTATAGTTCATAAGCTGGCTCTATAAAACATCAAAAGGAGCAGTTGTTTTTGATGACTTCATTCTGAACTTATTTATTTTTATTGTTATTACTAGAAAACCAGAGAAGAACTTGGCATCTTCTATTGCTTTATCCTCGGCAAACTGAGAGAACCAAAAGGTCAAGGTATAGTGAGTCGTTCTAATAAGGAAGGCTTCTCTATTTGACCTCACTCAAGTGTCACAAGCTCTTTTCACATCTCTTAAGGAACTTAAGGGGAGACCGACTAGAGTATTGTTTCCATGGTTAGCCCCACAAGATACAAAGGAGAGTTTTATTGTCTTGTTATCATTGTTATTGTTTTAGGATTCCAGTTTAGAAAACATTTTGTCTCTGTCATTTACCACATATGTTGCTATAATATTACTATTATGCTTACATATTTAACATATTTACTTACACACACAAATAATTATGTACATGTGTATATGAAAAATAAATTAATCTCTGCACTTAAGAAACTCACAGTCTAATTAGAGAGTCAAATAAGTAAACAACAATCATAATGCAGTATAACAGAAGTTGTAGGAGAAGTGCGTATGTGACCCTTTGGAAGAAAGAAGATTGGCAATCCAGACTGGGTGGAGGTCAGAGTGAAGATCTTAATATGAGTGCTGAAGGACAAATAAAAGTTACTTGGAAACTAAGGAAGAGGAAGAACATTCCAAAATTATTTATCTTTATATATAAAAAAAATCCTGGAAGTGAGATAATATGACATATTTGGGGAAATGATATGTAGGATCTTTGGGGGTTATTGAGAAAATGTAGTTGAGAAATGATGGGGCTTACTCTGGGAAACAGGGCGAAGGTTCCTCAAAAAGTTCAAAATAGAACTACCCTACAATCCAGCAAGTGCACTACTAGGTATTTACCCAAAGAATTCAAAAATACTAATTCAAAGGGACGTATGCACCCTCCGATGTTCACAACAGCAGCATTCATTATAGCCAAACTGTGGAAGCAGCCCAGGGTCCATTGATGAATAGATAAAGAAGAGGTGGTATATATACATAATGGAATATTACTCAGCCATCAAAAGAATGAAATCTTGCCATTTGCAATGACATGGGTGGAGCTAGAGGCTATTATGCTAAGTGAAATAAGTCAGTCAGAGAAAGACAAATACCATATGATTTCACTCACATGTGGAATTTAAGAAATGAAACAGATGGACATAGGGGAAAAAAGAGAGGCAAACCATAAAAAAAACTCTTCATGATAGAGAACAAACTGATGGTTGCCGGAGGGGAGGTAGGCAGGGGATGGGCTAGAAGGGTGATGGGTATTAAGGCAGGCACTTGTGATGAGCACTGGGTGTTGTGTGTAAGTGATGAACCACTGAATTCTACTCCTGAAACCGAAGGCCAGCCATCTCGGACTACATGTGTAAAAACAAAAAAGGAAAAGACCAAGAACAGATCTACTGGGAATACCAATTTTTAAAGGGTAGTAGAAGAGGGGAAGAAAATTGAAAGAAATTGTGAGAACACAGAGGTTCCAAGTCGATGAAAAACTTCTCCCACCACCTATCATCTTCTAGACACAACTTTGCAGTCATCACTGGAAAAATAAATCATTGCAGTGCCTGACAGCTTTGGCTCTGAAGTCAAACTTCCTGAGTTCTAATCTTGACTTTGCTACTTCCCAACTTTGTGACCTAGGCAAGCTACTTTGCTTCTCGATGCCTCAATTTTCCTCATCTATAACATGGGGGCTAAAGTAATACTTCCTAAGCTTGTGGGAACTAAACGGAATAATAATTATTAGAAACAAAGAAAGGAGCCTGGCCCAGGTTAAGTACTATAAAAGTGTTTGTTGAATAAAAGTGAAACACTTAGAATTAGCGGCTGCATGCAGAAATTATTTTTGTAAAGTTTGTACTATAGCAATTATTATACAACCCCAGAATGTTGGTCTAAATAGTGCCTTGAAGTCAAAGAAAGAGAGAGAACCCTACAACGTAAAATTTAATTATGTTGACTGAGTGATATAATAGACTTATAAGCCCTATTAATTCATATCACCTAATATTAAAAATTAACATCTATTATAAAGGTTATGTGCTTTTTGAGTTGGGTTTGATATTGTGAAGCATCAGGGAATGATATAAGCACTGATAAGTATAAGAAACTTTCTAGGACTTACAGTTCAAAGGTATATAACCCATACACCATTCCAAAAAGCATTAGGAGAAATACTCTAATAATAAGATAATTAAATCAATATGAAAAATAAACAGTAGAAAGGGTGAGCACTGAGTAATGCACAGAATTGTTGAGTTGCTACATTGTACACCTGAAACTAATGTAACACTATGTTAACTATACTGGAATTAAAAGTTTTTAAGTAAATAAATAAATAAACAGTGGAATACAGGGTATCAAAGAAATGGTAGTTCAACTGAAATCATTCTTGTTAACAACGTTATTAAAAAAGAAAAAGTACAGGGCATCTGGGTGGCTCAGTTGGTTAAGTGACTGCTTCGGCTCAGGTCATGATTCTGGAGTCCCAGGATCGAGTCCCGCATCAGGCTCCCTGCTCAGTGGGGAGTCTGCTTCTCCCTCTGACCTTCCCCCTTCTCATGCTCTCTCTCTCTATCTCATTCTCTCTCTCAAGTAAATAAATAAAATCTTAAAAAAAAGTACAAAAAAACTAAGAAGTCAACCCCAACAACTGAAATAAAAACAGCTAAGCAAACCTGAGAGAATGAATAAAATTAAAAGCAGAACCTAGTAGAATTAATAAATAAGTCCGAGAACTTTGCCTTGGAGAAGACCAAGACATTAATTAGGACCTTTGCAAAGCTAATTAAATAAAGGAGAAAAGGCAAATACATGGAAAAAAGGAAATATAATTACATACTTGATGTTTTTAATTATCAAATAATAATAATATTACTATGTAGAACTCAATACCTAAATGAGAAAATGCTGATAAAGGAGACTTTCTTTTAAAAAATATATGTAATAAAACCTGACCAAAAAATGGTGCAGTTGATCCTCATTAGTCACAATAGTTATAAATTCACTGAATTTGTGAATACTGACTCATCAGCCCTAGGGGAATCCAGAATGAGTACCCTGCAAGCCTCTGGTCACATTTTTGTTGTCAACAGATCAAGACCTAACCTTGTGTTATGTGCGTTTCTATTTAAAGACCCCTTATTTAATACATACGGTTGATTTATTAATGTTGAACTAATATGTCTAACACATTATTTCCTCCATAAGGCTGTTTAGGAACCCCAGACAGCACCTCAGCACTATGCTCGCGGGGCCATTTCAAACAGCTAACTCGTCAACCAAAAAACACAAAAATGTGAAAAATGAGGCACTAGACTACAGAAAGGACATTTATTTACAGTACAAGAGCTAAAACAAGAAGGCAGAGCCTTGTCCCCAACCGGGACTATGGGCATCAAGCAACTCAAATTCTCCACTGCTCTGAGCGTGCCCAAGTCTGCGGATGACCACCGAAGTGCTGTAAGTATTGACTTGGAACAGAGTTGGGGTAAATGTTGGCAAATAGGTGAATTCACAAGCACTGAATTAACAAATAGTGAGGGTGGACTGAAAAATGTCAAAATAAATCTATAGCAAAAGCAATGGAAAAGCTGTCACACGGATTTCTGTCTCAATCCCTGCTCCAGTTTCATGGACAAGTTCTTGCAAACCTTCACAAAACAGGTCATTCTCAATATTGTTACATGAGCTCACAGATTTTGAAAGGGAAAACAGTGCAATTTTTTGGAAGGTAGCATAACTGAATACCAAAACCTGAAAGTTCTAGATCAATCTCATGTAAATACAAATACAAAAATTTGAAAATCATGTATATATAAAATCCGGAAATATAGCAAAATGAGATGGATGTAAGCAATCTAAAGATGGTTAAAAATTAAGAAATCTTTTAATATGATTCATCAATGAATAAGTTAAGTGGAAATCAAATGATGATCCTAAGAAAACAAAAGAACATTTGCTAATGTTAAGAATCCATCCTAATTAAAAACAGAACAACCTTGGGATGCCTGGGTGGCTCAATTTGTTAAGCATGGGACTCTTGATTTCAGCTCCATTCATCATCTCAGAGTTGTGAGATCAAGTCCCTTGTTGGTCTCCGTGCTCAGTGCAGAGTCTGCTTGAGATTCTCCGCCCCACCCCGAACCCTGCTCATGTGCATGCTTTCTCTCAAATAAATAAATAAAATCTTTAAAAAAAAAAAAAAAAAAAAAACAAGAAAAAAAATCTCTAAAATAAGAGTGAAAAATCTCTTAACACATACACAATACCTTTCTCAAGTCAGTAACTTTAAACATGTTTCCATGAAAGTCTGGACCAAGACAGGAATGCTAGAACCATTTATAGTTTTTTATTTTATTTATTTTATTTTATTTTTTAAAGAGTTTTTATTTATTTATTTGACACAGAGAGAGAGACAGCGAGAGAGGGAATACAAGCAGGGGGAGTTGGAGAGGGAGAAGCAGGCCTCCCACTGAGCAGGGCGCCCTATACGGGGCTCAATCCCAGAACCCTGGGATCATGACCTGAGCCGAAGGCAGACGCTTAACTGACTGAGCCACCCAGGCACCCCCATTTATAGTTATTTTATATTGTTTGCGAATATTAGCTAATACAATGAAATCATTAACGATTGTTCTGGCATTCCTGACAAGGTGTAGAATTATAAATGGAGTTGCTGGTTTGGCACGGGTATTGTTTATGTGCTAAAGGATATTAGAGATTTTGTTTTGTTTTGTTTTGTTTTGTTTTGTTTTGTTTTGTTTTAATTATGATTGAGTCTGTCAGGCCCCCACTTTCTCTTTTCTCTTCCCCCCAAGTTCACCTAATCTTCACATAAATAACATTCTAATTGCCTGTCCTGAAAGGCCAGGACTCCTTCTAAGTATGCAGGGGAGTGTTTCTTCCAGAACTGGTTGGGATTCCTGCCATACAGAGAGAAGTTCAAGAATGACATTATATTGTGTATCTCCAGGATGAAAGGGGTGGTGACCGCGGCCACCCTTCCCATTGGTCGGGCTGAATACGACACGGACTTGACAACCACAATAGGTACCAAAGAAGAGCTGTGGTCTGACCCCAACTCTGTTCCAACAAAGTAAATAGTTGAGGACGTAGAATCCGAGGGATGTTACTGAGTGTCTATGCAATGCCTTTCTATTTTAATTCCCATAGTTACTCATATCCCTTAATCTTTCATGGAATGGGACTAACATAGTTGAAGGTGGGGGCTCCTGACCATAAGAGTCATGGACATCCCCATGAAATTATGCTACTAGGCCTTCTTTGTTGATGCATTTTATTTATCATGATGAAATATTATTTAATTTTCTAACTTGCAGAATGAATAAGAACATGACTTGTAACCTCTGATTTACCAAAGCCTCATTGGGTTTTTGACAGTTACAATTTTTCCTTCTCTGGGATTTAGAGACTTTACACTTGGATGAGGGGCAGTTCATGCCCCCAAACCCCAGGACCACATCTTTGTCTTGATGTTTCTTTTTCCCTCCAGGCTGATGTGACCTGGGGCTCTGGGTTGCAATTCTGGGACTTGCTTGGGATTCAAAGGTGAACAAAATATAAACTCAGTTTGGAAGGAAATTAGAGGTCTGCTCTAAAAATTAAAGAATAACAGAATGAAGTGAAGAAAGACAGGATAAGTAAGGAAGAAAGGAAGGGAAGGAGGAGTGGGGGGAGAAAAGAAGTGGGGGCGGGAGGAAGAAAAAAATCATTGCTTGCGGTAGGACAAGACAAGAGGGGAGACACGACTGGTCATTCTACTGGTAAGACTGAGAAATGCTCATTATTTTATTTTCGATTCACGACGTACCACGGTCACCTTTGTGTAAGAACTGCAAGTTTTGGGGCGCCTGGGTGGCTCAGTCGGTGAAACGTCTGCCCCCAACTCAGGTCTTGATCTCAGGGTCCCGGGATTGAGCCCCGTCTTGAGCTCTCTGCTCAGCGGGGAGGGGGAGTCGGCTTCTCCCTCTGCCCCTCCCCCTGCTTGTGCTTCTCTCCTCTCTCTCTCTCTCTCTCAAATAAATAAAATCTTAAAAAAAAAAAAAAAAGGGAATTGCAAGATTTTCAAGACTGAGGTGAGTTTTAAGAAAGGAGAGGCTCTCACCCTGCCAAGTACACATGCTACTACATCTCCTTCACAACACGTCTGATGCAGATTTTTAATATCCACAGCCAGCCTGGCAATTTCAGAAAAGTCAGCTTTGGGTTGTTTTTCAGTCAGCAGAACCAATTCCCTGAAAAGAAAAATAAGTACATCTTAAACCGTATTTTGAATTCAATCCTTTCTAAAATTAGTTCTAGTTCATTGAGTAACCAAAATAATAGAAACACATTTGCAAATGTAGGAGGAAGAGAGTATATTTTAAATGCCTTCCATTTCTTCAACGATAGCACTCAGAGCCACACAAAGATCTAAATCACAAAACAAACACCATTCAATTCATAATCATGCAAAATATAGTCATTTTCATCATTGAAATGATCACTTAAGAAGCTGAGTTGCTTAGATGGATAATTTGGAAATTTATCTGACCTGCCTTTCCAAGTAAAATTCTTCGTCATAAAGACAATAATTCGAAGAGTCTTGGGTCTCCCTTGCTTCTCCCGTTGACAACTGAGCAACATCCCCAAAATTTCTCTGGCAGTCGGAAAAATGGGCCTGCCTTATAAAGAGAACTAAGCTTCCATCCAGCCCAGTGCTGTCCCAGATTAGGCAAGAAGGTGATATAAGGAAGGGTACATCCCTTCACAGTAAACTTGGACAGAAATACAATCTGGGCCAGGAAAGAGGCACACTGAGTAACATCAAATTCTCCTCACCCCATACTCTTCCATCCCCACCCACAAAACACCACTAGATTTTTCTGTTCTGCATGACACTAGAGCCAAAATCTTTCCTGTCTTCCCAGAGAAAAGAAGACATTTTGTCTGCCAGGCTTTATCAGGCGGAACAATTAAGAGCCTGCATCTTCATGTACAGAATCTTTTGTGCACTAAGGCAGAGACAAGGGGTCTGAGCAGATGGAAGAAACTGAGGCAGGAGACAGTGGATAGAGATGAGGATTGTGTAGTTTCAAGCCCAGCTCTATGTGCCCTATTGAAAAGGCAAGTAGCATAGGTGTAGAGAAAGGAACCAGGTTTGCATTGAGAGACATTATTAAATGAAAAAAAAAATGATTTTTCAAATGAGTTTGATCAAATGGGGTGATCCAACAGCAACAGAGTTCACATATGTCAATCAGTAACTTACACTGCTTTTGCTACTTTGTGGTTGAATTTAATCCCAATTTCACATAAATGGTGATGCCTCAAAGATATTTCTCTAACGTATTTTCTGATGGGTTCCAGCTGTAAGTAGAAAAACACTCATCAAAGAAATGTGGTTGTAACAGCAAAAGTCACTCTTGTCATTAGTAAACAAGAAAGAAAAGGAAAAGTTGTTTATCTCCTCAAAATTAGAAAGTCCTTATTGTCTTATTTAAAAGAGACGAAATGCAAAAGCACAATGTCGTTTGTTTGTTGGTTTGTTTGTTTTATAAAATAGCATCTTACTTCCCAGAGATCACTTGTTCTAGAACCTCAAACATTTGGAATAAAAAGAAGACATGAAATTGAGCAAACAAAAATCCAGAGAGCCACAAGAATAAATTTCAATAAAGTCTTACAGTTGTATTTTGTTTTTGTCAAGTTACTAGCTCTGTCATCTTGGACATGTCTCCTACTGCTTATCTAAAATATATGCTCCAGTTCGGCAATATACATTAATGAAGTCCCCCCCAAATATGTTCATAATTTTTAAACCAGGATTTTTACTTTGGAAACTATCACAAATAAATTCTTCTACATAAATAAAAACACAATTATTAAAAAAGAAGAACATGCATGTTTTGTTACAATGGCAACATTTTGGAGACAAATAAAATGTCTCAACAGCAGAGTGATGGTAAAATAAATAATGGCACATTAATTTTGACAAAATGTATACCTCTAATAAAAAGTAGATATATTTAAATCTCAAATCAAAACTAGATATTCAATGTGATCACAACAATGTACAAAATAAAATCTGTGAATGGAAAAATGAATGAAAGGAAATATACTAAAATTGGTATCTCTGTGTGCTGGGAATATTAGTAATATTTTAAAATTTCAGAACAGCTCTATATTTTCACTTAAAACATTATAATGACCATAGATTATTTTTACTTTGGCTAACTATATCTTACAGTGCTATCTTTAAGAACAAGTTAAAAAATATATACAAAGGCAATATTCAAACCACAAAACTAGCACAATAATTATAATTTAATTTAGTAATTATTAAATATAACTAATTATATATTATAATTAATTATAAATGTAATTATTACTTTAATCCTTATTTTGTTGTAGTATACTCATTTAAAATCTAGTACAAACAAGCTTGTCTACTTCTTCAAGAGTCTCTGAAGACTTAACTCATAAACCACATTCTCTAATCATAAACACAATTTTTACACACCTGGTTATGTCATTTTCTTTGAGGAATAAGCAAGAACCATTAGGAATGGACATCCAGGAAGCAGCAATACTGGAAAGATCATAAAGTAGGGTAGAAGAGGGAAGAACTCTTGGCTAACTTTATAGGGGCATGTTATACATTAAGGAAAATTCTCCACTGAGAAGGGTTAAGATTAAGAAAACTTAAAAGAGTAAGCACAACTTACTTTAAAAAAAAAGCTTAACCTCCACAAAAATGTTCATTCTTTAGAAATGTGAAGTAATGAGATATAAGTCTGCATGATCATTTGTTTTTCTGTTTTTCATTAATATAAACCTAAAAGGAAAAAAAGACTGTCCTGCTTAGGAATTCAGAATTGATTTCTGAAAAAGTCACTAGAAGACAAATGGAGAGGGAGGTAATATACTAAAGTTCTCTATGATAATGATAATATCTTTAATGATAACAGCAATAATTATTGAGTACTGAGCATGTGACAGAAACTCTCTAGATACATTACTTAATTTCTTAGCCAAGGTAGATGATGAGGAGCTCGATAGGAAAAATGGGTTGAGAGGAATAGAGAAATAGGGGTTTTGAGGAATATGAGATAAATTTGCACTGAGAAGATCAAAGAAAACAGTAAGAATAAAGTGGCACTGCATTTAGTCTTGAGGAATTCATCAAAATGACTATCAAACTACTACTCATTTCAGTACAACCTTTGGAAAATCCATCTGGTGCCCTCTCTAGTAAAGATGGTCATTTTATGTTGATATTTGAAACCTTCAAGGAGATGTGTGAAAAGTTCTTTTATCTTAGAACTAATCACTGATTTACATCTCTTCAATGAAAGAGAAAAGGCCACATGGTTAAAATTAAGTGTGATAGATTGTATTTTCCAATGATGGCTGCAGCAATATCTTCTATCCTGGGCTCTTCTTACAGTGAGACTTTGACAATCTTCCCCTCAAGACGTACAGACTCTCCTTTCTTAAACCAGTGAGGTTTTATGGTGTTTCAACCAATAGTGTATGACAGAAGTAACTTCTGAGGCTAGCTCATAAAAAGGCCATACAACTTCTGCTTTAGCCACTAGAATATGCACTCTTGAAGACTTTGGCTATATGTAAGCAATCCAGCTGCCCTGAGGCTACCATGCTGTGGGCAATCCCAAACTAGCCAAGGCAGAGAGACCACGTGGAGAGGCCCTGAGACTCTATGAGAAGAAAGCGATGTTGAGCTAGCCCCCAGGTGCTTCAGCTCCCCAGAGTTCTACCACAAGAAAGATCATGAGCCAGAACTGCCCAGATAGCCCTTCCTGAACTCCTGACCCACAGAAATCACGAGAGATAATAATATGATTGTTGTTGGCTTGAGTCGATAAATTTTGGGGTATTTTGATATGCAACAATAGTAACTTGAATATTAAATACTTATGATGAAGTAATGTCTATGCTAAATCATACTTTTCAAATTGTAATAACAGTATGAATTGCCTCAGGATCTTGTTACAATGAAGTCTTAGTAGATCTGGAGAAGAACTTCAGATTCTGCATTTCCAGTGAGCTGCCCGGTGATGCATATGCTGCTCGTCCACAGTCCACACTTTGCAGAGCAAGGCTCTAAATAACAGTTGACATATGAATATTTTACCTTTATCTGGAAGCATTCAGTTTTATTTTCTTCTTGGCAACATGACTGAATAGCTGTTTCATAGCAAGCAGACATGGTCAGAATAGTGGGTCCATACAAGAATGGATGCTTTCGAGACGTTTCATAAATGTACCTGTAATTTGGAAAATATGAAGTTGTGTAATTTAGATTTGAAAAACATGTGCCAACACTGTTTCTTCATCTAGTTTTGTTGACCTGAACTTCTAGAATTTCATGGTGAAAGAGATGAGGTAGCATGATACGTAAACACATCTCATGTTCACGTCACTCTGGACAGATCACTGTGAAGTTAGTCAGACATTCACTGAATGCTCATGAAATGACCAACTGTAACTTCCAGGCTGGTGGGGAAAGAAAAAGTAACTAAAACTTGTCATTTTTATATAAGAAGTAGAAGATAGAAAGTTCAGTAGTCCAAAGTGAATTGTAAATGCTGGATTGTACAGCTGGTGCAGGAGGATTAAATTTAGAATCTATTAGTGATGGGGGAGGAGTCTCTCAAGATCATCCAGAAGTTCTTTCTAGACTGGGAAAGTTAAGGCCATTGTCCTCCAAGATATGCCCCTCAATATTTTGGTTGTTACTAAGTCCCCTGTCTTTATTTCCCTCTCTAGTTCATTCATTCCTCACACTCGAAGAGCCGGGGCATCAGCTCTGCCTTTCAGTTGTAATACATATCTCCTCCTATTTTTGCAAAGCTTGCTCAAAAGACCCCACAGACACACATGCAAAAATATTCAACAAGATGACATTACAGGCAAAAACTGGCTCAATGCTCACACAGATCCATTTTCTTTTCCTGTGCACACAGTGAGACTCCTTTTCCAGGCTCCCTTGCAGCTGGGTTGAGAACATGTAACTGAATTCTGGATGATGAAATATGAATGAATAGGCTCCACACCACTCTGAGGTGTGGCTGTTAATGTCTCAGCACAGTTCCCTGCTCCCTCTTTTTCTGTTTCACAGTGACCTGGGAAACACATGCTTCAGATAATACAGAGATGGAAACATCTGGCATTCCCGAGTTACCCCTTGGAGAATTGTCAGGAGCTGAGGCAAGTTAGAGAGAGACGAGCTGCCAAGTGTCAGAGTAGCCAACTAAAACAAAATAAAAGTAACACTCAAGACTTTAATCACTTATTGGGATAGTTTGAGCAAGAGGTTGAACTGGAGAAAGGGCTGACTCCCCAGCCTCTCCCCCTGCCCACTTTCCCTCCACAATCCCATACCAGTACCAGCCGAGGATGAGGTAGAGCACCACAGACTCGGGGATGGCTTTCTCCTGTGGGATTCCCAAACAAAAGGCTCCTGTGGTTTTAAGGACCTGGGGCGAGGCGGGGGAGAAGAGGAAAAAGGCCTGGGAGTGGAAAAGCCCTGAGTGCTGAGCCAAAGTGCACCGAAGTCTGCCCAAGTTTCTCCCTCCATCCCCACAGTGAGGAAGTCACAGCAGGGCTGGGCTAGGAATGAAGATCTGCACAAAAACATGGCTGGTATGGGGGGAGGAAGGAACCCAGCCCTTGACTACAGCTCCTTCAGAGACTGAAATGTGTTTTGTCCCAGTCTGGTGTGGGAAGGGCAGCTTGCCCCTCTGAGGCCTGTGATCCATAATTGCCTATTGTCAGGCCTGAAAAAAAAAAAATCATGCCCAGGATTCAACTAGGAGCCAGAGAGAGCCAAAGAGAACCACCCAATTTAGACTATGATATGAAAAAGAAATAAATCTTTACTGAATTCAGCCAATATTTAGGATTTTAGGATTTATTTATAAATTTAGGATTTCCTTGTGACCACAGCACAGCTTAGTCCATCCTGATTATTATGGTATTATCCTTAATTCAAGTTTATGATATAATATCTGTTAAGTAGGCCAATATCACCAGAAAAATGCGGACACCAGAAAACCAGGTTTTCAACATTGAAAGGAAAGGATAATGGAGGAAGTGATAGAAAGAATAGGGACTTGGTTCATGTTTTAACTTGCCCCCACCCCAAGTTCCTTGGATAATACATAAATCTGTATGCCTGCTCCTTTGGAATCTAACACCAAGTCCTTTTGGGATCCCAGAGAAGAATACAGCTGCAGAAACCGCTGAAGTCAAAGGAAAAATTTCTACTGTTGCCTTCCCTGGAACGATTGAAAAAGCAATTATATCTCATGACAAATAGCCAAGGAAATGCTTAACATATTTTAATAGACATTCCTGAGTGCTACAGAGTCTAAAAGACAAAATCCCACCCAAGAAGGTGGCTAGAGTTTCTGGGGTCAGGGACTATATCCATATGTGACTTCATCAGAAGAGTATTTCTTGCTGCTCTCTGACCAGATAGGGAAGAGTGCTGCCATAAGAGAAGACAAGAGTTTTGCAGGAGACCTGAAGCACTAACCAAACATCAACAGACACCTTATCTAACAACTGGTGTGTAGCAATCCCGTGGTAACATTTCCTTTCGGTTAAAAGTTCAAAATCTTTTCTCGTGGGTGGATGACCGAGGTGGTAGCCATCAGAGTTGTTTACCAGAGATTTCCAGATCCCCCTTTTCAGGCAAGTGGTAGGATTGTGCATTCCCACCCCCTCTGAGGTGACGTATGACAATGGGACTTGCTGGTTAATGATGTGTGAGAAGAAATGATGAGTGTTGCTTCTAAACAAGCTTAAGAAGCAATGCATGATTTATTATCATCCCCTTCCCTTGCCATAGTAATCAAAGAAGCAAGTGTTGAGATGGTGCCTTTGTCAACCTAGGTCCCTAAGTGACTATGATAAGCAGACCTCCTACCAATCTACATTGGACAGATAGCATGGGGAGGGGGGAACACCTTTTGTTATATTGAGCTGCTGAAAATTAGAGATTATTTGCTACCAAACTAAAGTTAACTTATCCTGGGATTATTACTTTTGCTTTTTAAAAACCTTTATAAAAGAAAAAAATCATCCACAAACCATGGAGGGAGAAAAATAGGCCAAATAATAGAACTGAACATTATTCATTAGCAAGACTTAGAAAAGTCCGTCTGCACTTCCCGCCAAAAGACCTTCCTCATTCTCACCAAGGGGCCCCAAACCCCTGGAAGTTTAGTCAATAGGCTTCTATCAGCAGAGTTTCTCAAGCCCAACTTCGTAGAAACAGAACAGACCAGCGGAACTGATATTATCAATGTACACCTGCCTCCCAACATAAGGCAAAATTTTTGGTCAACATGAAATTTCACCAAAGCCATTCAATACCTCTGCTCTTTATTGTGTATGCTGAATTAAGGGTTTATTTTTGTGCTACAGTAACAGTTCCCTTAGAAGATATTCAATATGAGCCAATCCAATTTCGAATCTCCAAAGTTTAACTTAGTATAAGGAAAAGCTTTCTAATAATTAGAGCCATTTAAAAAATGGAATGTCCCTATTGTAAGGTAACATAGGGTCACGCTTGATTGGAAGTCAGGTTCTAGAGTCAGACTTACAATAGAGGCTTACAGTAATTTAAACTGCTATTGAAAATTCCTTAGATAATCCAAAGGCACAATAACTATGGTTTTGTGTATTTGTAGACTATGCTATATTGTGAAAAATCTGAAAGAGCTGACTTCTCCAGCCAGCTCTGATATATGTTACTGTTTCCTTGGTTGAGAATTAAATGAAGTTGTTGCTTTATAAGTATGAGACAAGTAATTAGAAAATTATTTTTCCTTGAATAATTATAGTTGTCTGCACATAAATTAAGATTAGCATTTAAACTAATTCCTTAATATTGACTTCATTGTAAATATTCAAGAAGAGATTAGATTCACTGCATGAGTATTGGTTAGATTTTGTAATCTCTGAATATTCAACCCAAACCTGATTTTATAATTCTCTATTGGAGTGGAAGCACTACAGTAAATAGGTAGCTGGGTCCTATTTTGGTTCCCATTTGGTTGCCCCTGATGTCAGACAAGTTGGAACCTGCCCAGTCCCCATTCCTTAGTTCTTTCTTTCCCCCTTTTTTTTTAAAGATTTATTTATTTATTTGAGAGAGAGCGCGCATGCACACACATGCATGCAAGCAGTGGGGAGGGGCTGAGAGTCTTAAGCAGACTCCACCCTGACCGCAGAGCCCGACGCAGGGCTCAATCTTGAGACCCTGAGATCATGACCTGAGCTGAAACCAAGAGTTGGACACTTAACCGACTAAGCCACCAGACACCCCAGTCCTTTCTCCCTAAGTGGCTAGGGCCAATTAATTTCTTCTTGAAGGCTCAGTAATGTCTGGGGCAATTCTGTCCCCACATGGGTGAATTAAAGGAGTTTACATTATGCAACATCAAGTCACCCTGTCTGTTCATTCATCTCTGGTCTAAAGTTTCATGTCTAAAATCTGAAATCAAATCACTACCATCCTCCTTGCCCTCTAGAACCAGCAATCAGATCATTGCCTTATTCCCTTTGTCTGAGCCTGTCTTGATAAGATGGCTAGAATTGCATTCCCTGAGAACTAAAGTTTTTCATTTCTCTTATCATTTCTACCTCTCTAGGCATTGGTTTCCTGCCTCTAAACCCTAGCCACTTGCTCACACCCCTTTACAAATAGACCTCTATGCTCACTAGGAAAACAAAATAGGAGCTTGCCTACCCATTTGCTATAATGCTGTCCACTCCAGGTGGGAATTATTGAATCAGATATTATGAGTAGAAAACTCATCTCTGTCTAATCTGCAATTGTCACTTATTCTTAGGTTCCCAATGACAGGCTCTCTCCATGCCTATCAGATACCCGCTCTGCTATCCCTTGATGAATCTCCCAAATGCCAGCCCCTTGTCAGACCTATTACCTGCTCTCTGTCCCCAGTACTCTGTTTATTATGCTTTGCCTACTTGCTGTACCTTTCAACATCATTTGCTACTGGTCTGACTAATCTAACCATTAAGGAAATGGGTCCTTTATATTGCCCTAGTAATTTTTAAAAATTATTTTTAAAATTTTTTTGTCCTAGTCATTTTTAATGTTTCTGCAAACAGACATTTTCATGCCCTGTCAGGTTTACTGAGATTGTAATTGTCATTCTGAGGGAGAAAAATATATATTGTAGGTCAAATTTTTACCTTAATTCATGTAATAAAGCATTGTGTTCTCAGAGGCCCATATATATATATAAAAGATCAGTCTTCAAAATTGGAAAACACTCTTCTTCAGAGAGTATGGCAAGGAAAAATGACTTACCTCTCCTTCACTGACACTTGATTCACTTTGTCCATCTCACAGATCTGCTCAGGATTTGGAATTTGGAATATATCACTGTAATCTGCACCATCTTTTTTGTATAATAGGAAGCACTTGAGTCTTGCTTTGTTATTTATATTGCAACAGTCAGAAAACTTCTGTTTGTCAGCCTTTCCTTGGTTATTACAAATGTGCTCTAGGAACATAGTCACCTGCAGGAGGAAATAATAATTTAAGGGGGAAGCATGTGTGATCTACATTCCTAGGAAAGTTAAAGGATTATTATCAAGAAAAGGCCACTGAGCATATGATCTTACACTCTGTATTTAATAATCCCTGGACATAGCTCTTTTGAGCAAAAGATTTTTAGGTATGTAAGTCTAAATTCCCACATGCTAGACATGGACCAAATGGAACTTATCACTCTCTCCTTTCCAAAATAATTGTGATTTCAAATTCATTTTCATACAGTTGTTAAGAGGTATTAAACATAAGCCAAAATTCCAGAGCCTAATAAAATCAGGGTAATTTTTATAACTATCCACCAAGAAATAAATGTCATTTGCTTCCCTTGCTTCCTAATTGTTTTTAGTTTGGTTTCCATGGGAAGTTATTTTAAGAATTGAACTCCGAGGCAGTGTGTATTCAGTGTCAAATGTTCAAATGAAAATGTAATAATTCAGTTAGTTTTCAAATACCTTTGAGTGGCAGTAAATGTGTGGGATGCTGTAAGCTGCAAACAACATACATGTCCAGATTTAGGGAATAAAGGCAGAAGAAAAAGGCCATCTTTTGAAGTAGAAATAAGAAAGAGTCACTATAAAATAAGTGAGACTAGTGACTGGCAGAAACACTTCATTTCCAATGTGTTTGTAGGGACGCCTGGGTGGTGCAGTCAATTAAGCAGCTGACTCTGGATTTTGGCTCAGGTCATGACCTCAGAGTCCTGGGATTGAGCCCCACATAGGACTTCACGCTCAGCAGGGAATCTTCTAGAGGATTCTGTTTCCCTCTACCTCTTCCCCTTCCCCAACTCTCTCTCTAAAATAAATAAATAGATCCTCTAAAAAATAAAATAAAATAAATAAAATGTGTTTCTAATTAGACTGATGGTTTTTCTATGTCTACTAAGAGTCTAGTAAGAGATAGGTTTTAGCCCCAAGAAGATGGAATAATAAAAAAAAAAAAATTACCAATAAAGAAGAAAACTGTTGATTTGTAGTTTAAAATATTTGGCACGAGACAAGTGATCCAAAACATACGTAGATTGTACAAATATGTTAGTGTTCATCAAGAATTTGCTCATCATAAGATAGACATACTTTATGAGACAATAGTAATCCCCAAGATTTTCTACTAACTAGGAAAAAGAGCCCATAATGATATTCACTTCTTTCTTCCTTTTCATATACTCTTAGAAACTTTTTTAAATTAGCACTTTGATTTCCCAGGAACCTTTATTTGATGATGTCAGATAATAGTATTCCAGTGGGAGAGGCAGAGCAACCAACCAAAATGAACAAATTGGTTGGCCTCTGCGTTATAATTCATTCTCTTGAGCATTTGGTTCTCTGAGTCTGATCTCCCAGAGATGAAATGAAGAACTGTAGGCTTATAAGCCTACAAAGGTTGTATTTTGAGTGTGATTGATATACATATTGTTGCCTTAAAATCCCCTACTAATTCTTCAACATCCCACTTCATAACAGCACCTTTTGGTTGGAATTTTAGTTTAAATAAGAGAGAGAAAGGCAAAACATGATTCACCTACCAATTGGTGAGAGCATTCTGACGGTGACTCATGTGACTTGAGGATCTTGCACTTCTCTGCAAGATCTACCAACTCTTCAGCTATGGTTTGTACTTCTTCATAAGTTAATTTCTGAAGAAACTGAGCAACCATAATGCTGGCGCTGAAACATAACACTTGTGAGTGTTAAAGATAAAATTGAACTTTTCTCCATCATTGTTAGATCACTGCCCCTCTCCCCATTCCAAAATGATTGTGATTTCAAATTTCAGAGAAGAGAATGTTGATAACAAAACTCACATGTCTCTTAAGTTCTCCTGCAGATAATTCTGGCTATTAATGTGGCGCAAGGCTGAAAAAAATGAGATTTTGTTTGCATAAGAGGATATTTTCAAAATTGAAATCTCCCTTTATAATTCTGAAATCCATATTTATTCACTTATAAATTTTCAGATCTTTTTTATTTGCCATCAAAAATTAAAACAAATTTTACCAGACTTAGCTTCACTTGTGTTTAAACTACATTCTGTGAATGACTTATTTCTATTCAAATATATTGTGTACTTGATATCTGTCATTAGCCCACAGATAAGTTGCATGTACTTGTGTTGACACACCTGAATTAATTAACATGATTTGGTTATTTAACTCTTTATATTAGAAGTTACTAGCATATCCAAGGAATACTAAGAAAATTAAAGTTTAACATTGGGAACAGACGTATAAACATTAGCACTTTGCCAGGCTTCATTTGGCAAAGACAATATCTCACCCATTCTGGATTTACTCATCAACTTTATCTTTCTTAACACCTCCACTCACCACACACACACACACACACACACACACACGCACATATGTTCTCTATTGAAAAGAGTATCTTCTTATACTAACAGCTTCTAGAGAGCTGAGCCGCTTTCTATTAAATAAACTATTATCATCTCTGATACGGGTAAAGGCTTTGGAGTCAGTTACTCTGAGTTCAATTTCTAGCTCTGATACTGAATGTGGCCTTGGGAAAATAGCTTAAGCTCTCAAAGTTTCTGGTTCTCTACCTAGAAAAAATAAATAAACTCTACCACATTGGACAGTTGTTAGGATTAAATGGAAACATACATGTGTAGCACTGAGCACAGCACCTAGCACAGAATAGGTACTGAAGAATGTAGCTAATAATATTATTCCTGCTACTATAAACACAGTTGCTTTATCCAAAATCATTTACCCAATTTCAAACACAAGTTTGAAATATATCTTTCCCTCACCTAGAGTGGAAGTAAGGCTAAAAGGAGATCTTCCTGTGTGTGTTGCCTCAATATATTAGCTCTCTTTCTGCATCCCTTCCACACATTAATTTCTAGCAATTTCCAATGACTCTGTTGACAATGATGAGCACTGAGGAAGATAAGCCTTTCCTTATATTTTAATATATATTTTATTAGTCATCATGCCTTATGTCCTGGCACATGGGATGTATAGATTGTAAATAGGATCCCTACCTGCAGCTAGTAAACTTCTCTGAACAGTTTGACATTGAATGTAGCTGAAGAAAACAAGAAAACATATGGGTCTAAGAGTCTTCATTGTTCCAGATGAACCTTTAAAGAAGGTGCTCTATCATCTGAAAGAACTGAAGAATCCTTTTTATACTCTTCAAGTAATTACTATTAATAATTAACCTTTTCCTGGTGAATATTTTTTCTAGGCCAGTACGACCCTGATAAAATTGAAGAAATTCATGACAATGGAGAAATATTACTAATGGATGGCATTCATTAATGAATACTGGATTTTAAAATGAGTCATGTCAATCTACTTGTTTTTTTCAAGATTATACCATGTAGGCCTTGTAGTAATCAATAAGCACCTTTGGTACGGATCTCATTTCCTGGGAATGCCTGTTGACACAGACAAAGTTCTGAAGTGGCAGGAGGGAAGGTAAACATGTACTACCACAAATTCAAATAAATGGTTAAAGCCCTGATTCCAGTGCTGGGCACATTTTCAAGTCCCTGGGGTGGGGGGTGCATAGGCCTTGGGAGCAAACCCAAGGAAATGGGACCTAACTTATTGAGTGTTTATTGTGAGGCTGGTGCTTTATATGACTATTTTTAGACAACAATATTCTTATTTCTTGAATAAGAAATTAAGATTCAGGATCATATAGGCCTGCCCTCCATACTAGGTAGCCACCTAAAAGTGGCACCTGGAAGACTTGAGTTCTGGAAAAGGCCAGAAATACATTGTGCAGTCTGTCGAAAGACCATAAAGCAGCACTGGCGAGGGTGAACCGAGACAAGTGCATGGGCAGCCTCTTGGCCCAGTAGCTGTATGAGATTGAGAGCATCATGAAACTCGAAGTCAGACATGGGGACGACGTGGAGCTGCTGGACCAGTGAAGACATCAGGATGCAAATGTGCAGATGAAGCAAACCCTGGTGCTGAAGGTGCTCTATGAGAAATGGGAGTTGACAATGAAATTGGGCCTTTTCATCTCTCAATTCAAGGAATGAACTTTCTCGATGACCCAGGACAGGCAACCAGGAATCACTTCCAAGTGCATGTAGCTCTTGAGGCTTATATCTGAGGCAGACCCAGGGGACCTGGATTTGCCTTGCCAGGTCAGGGCCTACCCACAGGACTGAGAAGCCAGCCAAAAGCAGCACTTGGGAGCCTCAAGTTCTGGGGAGGCTTGGGAACACACCACGCAGCCTGTCTATAGGGTACAGGTGGAGGAGTCTGGACTGCTTTGCAAGGACGTAGCTTGTTGGGCTATGGGAATATCCTTCACTAAGAGATACCTGGGAGCCTTGACAAATCTGGACACCTTGCAAGGGCTGATTCCAGCATGCTGACCATGGTATCCTCAATGAGAGACACTTGGGAGTCGTGTTTGTTACAGTAGCCTGGGACTTCAGAAAATAGGCAGACCTGAAGCACTTGGATCACCCTGCCATGTTGGAAACAGGAAGAAACAGAAAATTTGAGCAGACCAATTACCAGCGATGAAATTGAATCAGTAACCAAAAACTCCCAACAAACAGAAGTCCAGGGCCAGATGGCTTCACAGGCAAATTCTACCAAACATTTAGAGAAGAGTTAATACCTATTTGAAGCAGGAGGACTAGGTTCTTGTCTCACAGAGTACAAGAATTAATCTCAGGGACAAAGGAAAGTGAGCAAAGCAATAGAGTTTTAAGTAAGGATACAGAAAAAACCCTCAGGAGTGGGAGGGGTCCTGACAGGGTTGCCAACGTGGGCCTCCACCGACATTCTTATTACCTTAACATTCTTGTGATGTCTTGGTTTGAGTAAGGACTGGTGATAACATCTTTAATAGCTTACTTCTACTTTGGGGTCTGGTTACTCTTTGTTGGTCACAATGTGACTGCCATAAAAAGACCCCACCTCTGACGCCCAGGGCAGGGTGGTCTGGTTTGTTCCCTTATCTCTGATTTTACTGTGCCTCAGCATTTCTGGGATTTTTGGTGAGCCTATTTCTCCCTACCTAGCTGCACCTGCTCCTTAGTCATATTCTCCTCAAACTACTCCAAAAAATAGAAGAGGAAGGAAAACTTCCAAAATCATTTTATGAGGCCAGCACTACCCTGATACTGTTATGGAACCTGGACTGGATCGCCCGAAAGAAGAACCAAGGGGCACTCGGAGATCTTGGAGGATAGGAGGCTTATTTAACACTGGCGGGCTCAGAAAAGAGTGGTCTCCAAAGGTCTGAGCCCCGAGCACAAACAAAGGGGACAAATTTATACTCTTCTACTTCCACATACTTGGCACTTTTGGAGTGCGAGCAAAGCAGGGCAGGGAGAAGAACCCAGATTGGTGCGTGCAGGAAGCGGAGCAAGGGGGCGCCTGGGTGGCTCAGTCGTTAAGCGTCTGCCTTCGGCTCAGGTCATAATCCCAGGGTCCTGGGATCAAGCCCCGCATCGGGCTCCCTGCTCCGCGGGAAGCCTGCTTCTCCCTCTCCCACTCCTCCTGCTTGTGTTCCCTCTCTGTGTGTCTCTCTCTGTCAAATAGATAAAATCTTAAAAAAAAAAAAAAAAGGAAGAAGAGCAGGGAAAAGAACCCGGAAATGCCCCGGGGCAAGGACTGGGACTCTCTCTCTGGCTCGGTCGGCCATCTTAGGACACAGATTTTCCTTATCATTCCTCCTTTTGATGCCCCTTTAAACACCTAGTTTAGAGGACATCATTCAAACCTAGTTTGACTCTGAGGGTTGACTGCAAGTCTTGGGACAAACATGGACTTAATCACAAACTTAACAGCACACCAGGTAGCAGAAGACCAGGACTGACTGGGGCCAGGAAAACCATGGTGAAATGTGCTCAGGACTAGACAGCAGAGGGCCAGTAAAAGTGGGATCTATGACCTTAGGTAGAAGCCTCTGGGGGAAAGTCCAGTCAGGAGGGGCAACAGTGTAGAGTCCAACTCCCAAGATGAGGGAAATCATGCTGATGAGAGCCAGGGACAATGGTGAGCAGGTCCGTCACTCAGTGGGGTCTCATCGAAGGTGAAGCCAGAGTGGGTTTGTGAAGTCTGGCCAGACTCTCCACTGGCACAGCTCCTTGTCCTAATGATGAGCTTTCTTCTTTCTTCCGGTCTTTGACCCAAACTGAGTCCCCTGTCTGGAAGTATACCTGAGACCCTAAGGAGATGGGGCCCTCTCAAAGGTATACTTTTGTAATTTATTTAGGGTGGGCCCCAGGGCCTGAAGCTGCTCCTTTATCCCTTTATCTCCAACCTGATGCAAGTTCCCTGGAAGGCTTCCCAAGCACAGGGGGGGCTGTCCATATATGAATTCAAATGGGGAGAAACCTGATGTCCTGGGCGTGCAGCAAGCACGCAGGAGAGCTAGGGGTAGTAGATCCAGCCATGGGAGGTTAGTCTCCTCACCAAACTTTGCTAAGATTCCCTTGAGGGTGAGATTCATTCACTCTACTTTCCCTGAACTTTGGGGCCGGTAAGCGGTGTGGAGTCTCCAGGTGATGTTGAGAGGTCAAGACCTGTACAATGTCTGCCACAAATGTGGGTCCATTGTCACTATGGATTGTTAATGGCAGACTGAACCGGGGCATGATCTCCCACAAGAGGACTTTAGCTACTTCCCAGCTTTGCTCCATCCTGATCGGGAAGGCTTTGACCCACCCAGAGTATGTGCATGCTATTACTAGGAGATATCTGAACCCCCTGCTCAGCTGCACATCTGTGAAGTCTACCTCTAGATCTTCGAAGGGGGTTGCTCCCATCCTCTGGACACCTGGTGGGGGCCATGGTGCAGACCAAGCATTATTTTTAGCACATGTTACGCATCGTTCACTCGTTGCTCGGCATAGTGCTGGCAGCTGACTGATGTAGTAGTGCTTCTTGAGAAGGGCCTCTAATGCAGTTTTTCCCAGATGAGTGAGTTGGTGGTATTCCTTGACTAAATGTCCTCCAGTTCCTGTTGGAACAAAGATGTGCCCGTCTGGCATCATCCACCATCCCTTTTCAGTCAGGATAACCCACTAACCCATGGCACATTCCTTTTCCTTTTTAGTGTAACTGGGCAGAGGGACTTCTTCCAGGGCCATGGTGAGGGAAGGGGCTCTGTCTATGTCCACACTGGCTGCAGTCTTGGCTGCCTCATCTGCCAGATGATTTCCCCACACTGTGGGGTCGTCTCCTTTCTGGTGTCCCTTACAGTGCAGGATTGCTACTTCCTTTGGAAGCCACATGGCTTCGAGGAGTCTCAGTATCTCCTTGTTCTTGATAGCTTTTCCTGCTGCGGTTAGGAGGCCCCTTTCCTCGTAGATGGCTCCATGTGTACGTACAGTAGCAAAGGTGTACTGAGAATCAGTATAGATGTTGACTCGCTTGCCTTCACCGAGGGTGAGGACTCGGACTAAGGCATATAATTCAGTCCGGAGAGCTGACCATCCAGCTAGTAATGCCTTAGCTGCTAGGACTTCAGTGGTTGTGGTTATGGCATAACCTGCTTTCCAGGCACCCTCTTGTAGGTAACTGCTGCCATCGCTGAACAGCGTGAGCTCTGGATTCTTTATGGCTTGATCCCACAGATCTGGATGGCTCGCGTAGACTTCATCAGTCACCTCGGAGCAGTCATGTCTTGTTCCCCCTTTTCCGTGGGGAGAAAGGTGCTGGATTTAATGTCCTTACTGTTTCGAGGGTGACCCGCGGGTTTTTGTAGAGAAGCCCTGGGTATTATGCTAGCCGAGAGTTGGAAAGGAAGCGGTGTCCCTGTGCGTTCATGAGGAACACAAATGCATGAGGGACCTTGAAGTTAAGTTCTTGCCCCAGGGTAAGTTTGTCCGCCTCCTTGATGAGTAGGACTGTGACTGCCAGTGCCCTGAAGCATGGTGGCCATCCCGCTGCCACAGGGTCCGGCTTCTTTGACAGGTAAGCAACTGGCTGTTGCCAGAGCCCAACAGTCTGGGTGAGTACCCTGAGTGCTATTTTTTCCTTTTCAGTCCAGGCAGGGGGTTCTCGATCTGGTCCCCCTAAGAGATCACAAAGCAGTCTTGCTATTGCCAAGAGCCCAGGGATCCAGATGCTGCAGAATCCTGAAG